CAACACTGCTGAACAGTGTCACCAGCACATACAGAAGGAATAGGAGCCTGGCAGAAGTTTAACTTGAAAGAACAACTGTAATCTCTACACTTTAATTATATTCTCAAAATGAACAATTTAAAAATATGTTTTCTTAACGTTGCCCTGATACCTTGTCAAACGGAAGGGGAGAGTAAGAAGGTCTAAAGAGTTTCAATAAGTGTCTGATGTCTTTGTGTTTCCTTGTTGACTTTCAGTATTGAATATAAATACCTAGATGCAAGTTTGAAGCTGTTGGCAGCAAAACAATTTTACAATTTCATTATTATAAAATCATCAATATCTTATTCTAAAACAGGACTCCTGTACTTGCTGACCTCATATCAAACTCGTACATAGACTAAGCCTAATGTCTGTTTTTTCTATTTAATCTTGACTCTCAAACACTTAAACAGCTGAAAGAATAAAATCTAAAACTGTCAGGATCAGGTTAAGCCTGACTTTACTAAATCCAGTGAATGGAGCACAACTGTGCGCGGTCATGGGAGTGTGTGTGTATTCATTCGGTGATTTATAAAATGTATACATGTTATTATACTTGATTCTTATTTGTAGAGTCACCAAACCAGGACTGTCATGGCTAATGTGTGGCTTAACAAGCTGCGGTAAATAAAAGAATCAGTGGAAACGTGGAGCTTCCAGATCATTTGAAGCTGACACCAAGAACATAATCTCCTCCTGGCAGTTTTAGTTTTTATCCTTTTAGATGCATTTTAAATATAACAACAAAATTCAAATTCAAATTTGATATGAAGCCAGCAAGTACAGTGCAGGTGTCCGGTTTTTGATTGTTAAGAACAATAAAAAGGTGTAAAATTGTTTGCTGCAAAAAGAAAATGAAGATCAGGGAGTAAAGTTCTGCTTAAAAATTAAAATTTAGACCCTCCTACTCTCACCTGTGATGCTGATTTCGCACAGCATACGTTACCATGGCGATTTACCCCAGTAAGAAGCAAACTACCTGTGTGGAACAGAAAACCCTGAAGTTACCTGAATACGCCAAAATCAGTGGTTTGTAGTGTGTTTCGTGCATTGTTATTTCAGTCTTACACGTCTTTGTTAGTCAGTGGTTCGTTTGTTTGTCATTGCGAACCACATTTGCCAACAAACCCTCCTGACAAATACTGAATTAAAAGTGCCAGCGTTTATATGATGTATGTAGATATTTTATAAAAATCCCACAATCATGGGTTTTTGCATTTGACCGTTTAACTGAGCATCAAATGATATGTAAGATTAGAGTTGTGTGTCACAATGTAATGTATCATGAATCAAGCTATAATGTTGCAGTAGCATCTGTATGTTTGTATGTTTGCATGTTTGAGGGGTGATGATGTACAGACTTTTTATGTTTTGCTGTGATTGTTTTAATAAAGATGTTTATATTCTTTTATCTTTTGTACATTTGTCTTAAGTGACTGTTAAAAAGCTAAAAATGGTGTCAAAGTTATAGGGGACAAAAGGGTTTTAAACCTGATTTTGTCAAACTGTCTTCTTACCACATCTGCTCCTCACTCCTGGTGTTCAGTGGCTCATCAAGCCAACCTATAACTGTCCCTGAGACAGTTCAATAAAGGTTTTTATGTTTCTGTGTTAGATTCATGTATATTTTAGTTCATATATTTCTTGAAAAGGGTTAAAAATGTATTGAATAAGATAATAAAAAAATGTAGCATTTATTAAAAACTTGCCTAAAATATGTAATTAAAAAAAATAAGATTTTGCTAAAAGTGGATAAGTGCATAAAATATAAAGTGCTGTTCGAGGTAGATTTTGATGGTCACATGCACCAGAGTTTATCTGAGAGCACAACCGTGGCATTGTGTGTCAGAACTAGACTATACAGAGCTACAGAGGCACACACAGCTGCACATACATGCTTTGCATTGGCAATTAAAGGAGATTTTCAGTAATATCCTTTATTTTTGCATTTTTGTGTTCAGTGTTGTATATGGCTGGGATTCCTGTTTGTGTTCAATAACACAATAATGATGTGTTCCAGGTTTCTGTGTGAGCCAATAAGTGACTTCCAGTGTTTCTCTGTGTTTTTATGGCTAATGTATTTGCTTGTATTGGTAAATAGCCTGCAGTCAATATGAGTTATGAAGGGGTTACATTTAAAATACTTGCAGAACAAGTCGTTCCATTTATCTTTATAACTGTGTTACTTTACACACTCTGTCCTCTACATTATAGTCCTTGTAGACTGAG